CCTCAGGGCCGGCGCGGGCAGGGCCGCGGGACCCCCCCCGGCTCGGCGATGGGCGCTGCCCGGCCGTAGCATCGCCCTCTCCTGCCTGCGAGGCTGCCAAGGCGCGGAGCGACTCACCCTGCTGCGTCTGACAGGTGCTGTGCTCCCTCACGCCTTCCCGCCTTCCTGCAGACAGCCTCGACCGGAACCACCGGGTGGGAGAAGGCACCAGCTCAGGTGCTCAGGAACCTGCCAGCAGCAGCCTTCCTGCCTCCAGGCAGTTTTTCTCCCTCCCCACAGGCTGTTTGCCTCCACAGGCCGTTTCCCTCCCTGCCCACAGGCCGTTTTCTTTCCTCCTCACAGGCAGTTTTCCTCCCTCCCCCAGCAAACGCTGGCTGTCACTGTCCTGTCCAGCCCCTGAACAACCGCTCCAGCCAAACTTCCCCTTCCAATGGCAACATATTCAAATCTCGCACCTCATATATTCCCCCGTTCCCTTTCAAGACTTGTCTGCAAAGGGAGTGGATAAATCAGGGGAAAAGTGCCTTTCTGTCAGCACAAGTGTGATCTTACGACAGGTGTCCCAGAGGAGACAAGCGCTTGCTCTGTTCTGTGGCCTTAACTCTCCAGCCGCATCAGAGCAGTTTCCAACAAAATATTTATTTCTGTGAGAAGACACTTGTTCTTCAAACCCAAACTGCGAGCAAAAAGGAAAAAGTAAACCCCAAGTGCAACTTCAGAGTAACTGTAGTGAGATCCACGAACGTGCAGTTTGGACAGCCAGGATGCCCGCCGTGAGGTTCCAGGCTGGGCGAGCTCCTCAGCCAGCTCTCTACCTCCTCCTCCTCACAGCCCCAGGATGCCACATCCCTCTCTTCTCCCGACAGCCTGAACTGCTCCAAGGTGTGGCAGCGGTGACCGGGCGCAATGAAGGGCCCCGAAGGAGCTGGTTTTCCCAAGAGCGACCATCCAGTAAGTCCATGGCATGAGGCACTATATCATTTCTTCACAACATTTAAAATATATATATATATAATATGCCATACTCTCCCCAGAGTTTAGGACTGACATAATTTGGGATTTACAGGACACTGGGCAAATAAAGCCTGTTTGTCCAAAGCTGTCCTAATGCATTTATTCAGAATGTCAAGAATCACCATTCCACTTGCCATTACAGGTCCAGTTCGGGCTTAATTAAGACTGGTTCTGTCCACTGCACACATACCGGTGTGAGAAAAAGCTGTGAAGTGTGCTAAGCACTGATAAAATACAAGTACTTCAGGAAGACAAATTTGGTCATGTGTGTCCTCCACAAAATAAAGTAATTCCTATTACACAGAGCTATATCCTGCCTAATTCAGATGAGAATTAGCAAATACCAGTGAAACTTCTCTGTAAATCAGGAGAAATACACAGGCTTTACAGCAACTAGAAAACCCCACCATGCTATTTTAATCATAATAGAGAACACACAGTTATTAAGCCATCCAAGTGAATGAGACCCTTTTGGAACATTTATTCATACATTTTCACACTTCATGGGCAACAAGATGTATGTTTGAAACCCATTATCATAGTTCTCTGAAGTTACCCCTTTAAAAAAGGTTTAATAACTTTATCTCTAAAAATATATATATTTCACAGAATGCTACATAAAGATTCATAATTCAAAATCTTCAGTTAACCTCCACCCCAAAATAATCATCTCCTGAGAGTAAGAAGCACAGCAGGCTGCACAGTTAAATGTTCTGATTTAAGATTCACCGTACTATATGACTGCTTTGCATTTTAATGTTCTTTATTCTGTTAATACATGTTAGGGCCACACCTCGTGTGGGAGGAAGTTGCTTTTGCAATCCTTTTGTGGCGTTTACTGTTGATAGGCAACACTTCTGGTGGGGAGTGAAGATATGATTGTTGCATTGTGAAGATACAACTTGTACACAGCCCTATGGCATTTTAGCATTTGGAATATCTGAGTCGCTGTCTATTGTGGCTAAGAATGACCAAAGCTTATCTCTGAAGGGCTTATTATTTGAATTTCCAGTTTGTGCTTATACGGGAGTCACTCTTCTGGTAAAGCAGATGTCACCAGGGGAAAAAAAAAAAAAAAAAAAAAAAAAAAAAAAAAAAGGTTAAACCCTTTCTCTCTCAAAAGCAGCTCAGCTCTGTACAGTAAAAACATCAGCTAGCACGCCTGACCTCCTATGCTAACGCACTCCCTTCAGGCATGTCAAGAGCAGAGAAAGTAACTTTAAAAACAAAATGAGTATGGCAAATTGCCTGGTAGCAAACTACCCACAATTATCTGTATTACCCAACATCCTGTGAACATCTGCTTTAAAAGTATTCTCAAGTACTTTCTCCCTGGGGCCACATAATTCTTTTTTTTTTGTAGCAATTATGCAGAACACACCGAGATTCTCAGTGAGCTCAGTACCAAACTTGTTTAACATCTCTCTCTAGTTTAAAGCACACTCTCCACATGGACTCTCTTCCAATATGAAAAACTTCAAATGTCAGTAAGAGCTTAGAAGTGTAACCAGCACTTTCTAAGCTCCCCTCTTGCCAGCCATGGGGGAAGTGGGAAGCCTTCCTGACTCATTGCTGTTTGGGCTCCAAGGGAAGCAGTGTGCAACATGACTCAATTAAGACAGGTTTCTGTAGCTTCCCTCCTTTCACATTTGCTTTTACAAAGACCATTTCCACTGGATTGCTCAACATGCTGTGCAGAGATAAGCTCCTATTGCATTACCAGTATTCAAAGGGGAAAAAAAAAATCCACAGAACCACTGAAGTCGTTTCTGATCAGTGCTGACTTCCAAGATTTAAGTTAAATGAAAAATGACTGGTTACGTATACATTTTAATTTCCGTTGTATAAAAAAATAGACAGGGATCAGATAGACAGCATATCTGAACGGCATATCTAAATTGACTTGGAGTTGGTAATCCCTTGTTAGGCTTATTTTTCTGTGAATTACTCTACATTCATGCAGAAGGCTCTGAGTATTGTTTTCAGTCTCTGACAAAGCCCTTAATTCCGTATCAGCAGAACCCTTAAGCCAGGCTTATCCTTCTATCTCCATTACTTTAATGTAAGCTAGCGGGCTGTAGATTCCAAACAGATTTCAAGGGAGTCTGACAGAAAGCACACAGAGAACCACACTTGTGGATTTTCAGAGGACCCACGGCCTCTCTAGAGGGTGAGGAGGGGACAGTGTTTCCCCCAGAGGCATGGGAAGTCCGTGTGGGCAGCCCCACCACAGAGGCTCTTCCTGCTCCACCTAAAGGCCGGCTACGGTCGGAGAGACCCTCCCGTTGTGCCGGGCACCAGCCCCTCGGCTGGCTGCTCCTGCTCGGGTGGACAATCCTTTTCTGCCAACGGGGCTGTTTGCTTCTTTCTTGCAGCCAGCTGTACCACCCCAGGTCTTCCCTGGCACCATAACACCTTTATTCCTGAAGCTGGGAAGTTGTGGGCTGGCAAAGCCAAACATTTCAACCGCTGGTTTTGCACTGTGCTGCTCTACCAGCGCTGATCTCGCAAGCAACGTGTTGCCTGTTTTATCTTTGTCATTAAAGGCTGCAGAGTTCATTCAATGCAGACAAGCTGCCACACAGACGAGAGGGGTAAACCCACGCCACACCTGTCAGTCGTTCACAATTCAAATCTTCGCTTCACTTCATCTGCAATCATTTTTGCAATGGCAAGGGAGGAGGTAGCGGCAGGAGAAGGAGCATTTCTGACGTGAAGAACTCTGCTTCCAATATCTCCACTGCCTCCATCAAATACAAAGTCATCTACCAAATTTCCGTCAGTGTCCAGTGCTTGAGCTCTCACTCCAGAGGGACCCCTGCAAAATAAAGGAGGAACTCACCATTAGAAACAAAATGTTTTCTGAAATCAGAAAACCAATTCTGTTCCGACCTTATGAAGTTGCCCAGGGAAACAGTAAGGAAGGCAGGCTGTGGAGTCAAAGCCCAGACAGGCTTTTTTGGGGGAGCACAGGGAAGTTTAGCACTTGTGAGTCAGAGTGGGAGATGTCTCGCAGTCCTTACGGTAAAACGAGGGCAGGTGGCCAAGCAGAGGATCTCCTGCATCTTTCCTGGTTGTGAAGTTACTCTCCTCCCCACACATGCAAACATGCCTTCTCTTTTCAAAAAGGAAACCCTTTGTTCTGAAATAGCAAGCCCTGTCAAACATGAATTTCATGCCAATGGTATACTTATTGCCTGAGCTGGCAGTAAACTCCCTTTTACCACGCTCAAGCTTTTCTTAATTCTGGATTTCCTCCCTGCAAATGTTTGGACAGTTAAACCCACCTACATGTACCTAAATGCCTCATCTTTCCTCACAAGTCTCTTCAGTTCCTTAGTGTTTCTGAACTCCTTTGAATTAGTTTCTCTCTCCACAGAGTAAAAAAGATGAATACATTTTATTGAGAGGATTAAACTAAATCAATATTCATTCACTAGCAACTCACAGTCTGGCTTCTCCTCTGAATTTCATTAGTGGTTCGCTTACTTTGTGAACTCAGATTACTGGCTCAGAATTCAGGCTACTGTACGTGTCACTAGGATAAAGGGACTTTTTTGTGAATATGTCACAACTGTGAATTTCAGCCTATGGAGAGCGCAGAAAGTCACACAAATACTCATCAAACTTGCCTATACACAAGCAAACACGATATAAAAACCTTCCTGCAGAAAGGATCGAAATGCTTCAATGCTTTGGTAGAGGGAGTAGCTACATTTGCTTCTGTTAAAAGTAAGAGATTTAACAAGCCCTTGATGTTACGAACAAGAAAAGTTTTCTTTACCTGAGTACATCATTGATGGTGACCTCGGGGATGAACTTCTGAAGTTGCTTCACCTGTGCGCTAAGGAAACAGGCTCTGTACATTTCACCCAGTCCATAGGACAAGTTTCTCAGCACGAGCTTCCATAACCCACTGTAGTGAGAAAAAAAAAATAACTGCACTAAGACCACAGCTTGCACGATAAACGCAGCCATGTCAAACGAGTGCTAAGAAGGCAGCAAATGCAACTGCACGGCAAAAGTTCCCATTCCCAACATCAATGATCTGATTAATGCTTCCTACTTGAGAAATACATTTGGCCTTCCCTGCTGCAACAAACCTTGTTTACAGAGCTGTCGCGTTGCACTTAATTCTTTCTCTGAGAATTAACTCTGAACTCCAGTCCTTCCTATGGCCAGGGCTTTTCTCTGGTCCAGTCAAACGGCAATGAAAACCCACATGCAGGAGGAAAAACAGACTTTTTTCCACAATCATTCTGAAAAAATTACCACACTCCTAAACCCCTCAGCTTTCAATCAATGAATCTTGCTATGTCTTTGCAAATCTTGTTTGCTTGCTTTGCTTCCCTCAAGTCTTCCAGGATAAAAATCTATAAATGACCAAGATGCTTTCACCTCTTTACTTTAATAAACTGCATTAAGTTGAGCTGTTTGCCAAAAAACTATTTTCCAGTTCGCTGATCTGTCTTTTAGCCTTTCCTGGGATCCTCCCCAATATTGTCACATTCTTTTTCTAGTCTAATTTCTAAAATTGAGCACTTGGTACCGATCTGTCCAGCCCCTCACAGGGAAGCAAGCTTTCTCTCAACTTCTACAGATATTCTGTTCATTTATGTTTGCCATTTTAGCAATGATTCCCAGTTCCTCTCATGCTTTTTCAGACAGTTTCCCAGTCTACATTCATGGCCCTTAATGTATTTCCTAGCACTTGGACATTTTCTAAATGTGTCCTGATGGTGTGACAAAGTTTAACGCAGCAATTCAAACCACTCTGTGTTCTCTCTTCCAAGCATCCTCTGCAGGTATTTTAATCACACTGTCTAGGTTGATTAAAATATTCCACTGTGCTGGACCAGAACCAACCCTGGAAGAGCTCCACTAGTAGCAACATGGCTCACCAGAACCTTCTGATGAGCAGCCACATTCTCAGACCAGCTGAGACATGTCTTGGTAGTTTATGAAAATTCAAATATTAGATCACATGAAGTCAAATGTCTTGGAGAAGTCCACCCTTATCAGCACAACTGTCTTTAAACACACCAAAAACTTGGCAAAGGCAGGATTTTTGACAAGAACTTGCTTCCACAGAGTCACAAGTTGATATTTAAATAACTGCGTTCAGCAGATAAAGAGGCAAGATATTACCTGTATGTTACAGCGTCTAAAAAGTCTCCAGTGCTGAAGTCAAACAATCTGTAGCCCTCTCGCTTAAAGGCCAGTACTGCATTAGGACCAAGCCAGACACTTCCATCCATTCTGGGCGTAAAATGAAATCCCAGAAAAGGGAACCGAGGATTGGGAACCTAAAATGGGATATGACAGTTATTACAACTCTTACAAACCAAGTCAGAGAAACAGCCATGCAACCACTCAAGTCAATCCAGGAAACATGGAAAACATCTGTGAGGAGAAAAATACAGGGATTCACAGTTTATTGTGTGAGAGAGGGAATAAAACCAAAGCACAGTAAAGGAGATGTCCTCCCAATGAATGGAAATAACTATTTTTAAATAGACAAGTGAAAAAGGAAGTAAATCTGCTGTTTTATTTGCAATCACCGCAACAAATTTTGAGTCATATAAACATACAGTTGGCTCCCGCACTGTTTTTTCTGCTTGTTAATTGCGCAGTTAAAGCACGTAACTAATTTAAAACACGGAAGAACTGAGCAGGGCCAAGTAAGACTGCATCTTAGGTAAAAGCAAAACAAACAACAGGAAAAAAAAGTACACGTGATTTCTCAGGATATAAATCAACCCACAACAAAATCAACGACACACTAATGCTATTCACCAGTAGTAATTATACAGCAATGAAATAGGTTATAAAATATTAGGAAAGCCTCATAATTCCTGTATTGCTCAAAACAGCATGCAGTTAGTTAGGAAACTTGATTAATGCTAACAGTAAGTATCTGCAGTTTCTTTTTTTATTCGCGAATGGGATACAGTGTAATTGTGTGCCAAGGCTGCAACAGAAACAAGCTGTCTATACACAGATACAAGTGTTAAAGAAGAACACCTCTCCATGAGCTGCCACTTCAAGATCTGTAGCTATTTACAAAAGGGGACTACAGAGGCAACTGTTCTAGTCTGAAAATAAGCAAGTATTGGGCACTTCTCAACAAGTATTGTTATGACTAAAAATTGCTTCAAGATATGTTCCTTTTCTGTATCGAGTGCACCGCTTTTCCCGTGAAAAATATGCTTTTAATACTTTCAAAGATTAGTGCAAGCAGTTCACAAACTACATTACATTTCTGGTCATGTACCACTAAGAGTCGCACAATTTTCTAATCTTATGACCATATTTGGCCATAACAAAACATTTCAAAGGGTACAAAGCTATGAAACAAGGCTGGAAGGTGTCCCCCCATCCCAGCCAGTTCCTCCTTCCCATCCCAAGACAGGATCCTGAATCGTTCCCAGGTGGGAAGAGGTCAAACACTTCAATGCCCAGGGTTCCAGTTTCCCGAGAGCAACTTGCTCACGGGCAAATCCAGGTTCCTATTCAGACAGTATTTCAATGAATCTGTCATTCAGGGCAGGTAATTTCATTAATTAACTGGCCTATGCTGGCCTATGAATTCTCTCTCCTTGCTTGCTAGCTTCACTTTCGGTCTGGCGTTGCTCCTCTTCATCATACTATTTGTCTATATTAGATGGTAGGAACCTTGTCCTTTTCCTCCCTTGTCCATTTTTTGTCATACAAAGTAAAACTAATTCAAAGATGAGGTTGAGAGGCAAATATCTAAATCTGAGCGTTGTGTGTTAGCACACAAGATTAAACCCTGCACCTAAGCAATTAATAATTTACTGTTGTCCCTCGTTGACCTCTGAATCCTGCCTACAGATTTTATAACATAAAGAAAGAAGTCAGGCTTTTGTGGGCATGTGGCTATCATGCTAAATGTTTCATTCCTTCCCTATTAAAAAATTCCCCAAGAAACCAAAACCAAAACACAAACAAAAAACCCCAACTGGCAATAACTTCCCACATGGTACTTCTACCTGTTCCCCAAGAAATAACAAAAACAAGCTGTCCTGTCAGAAAGCAACCGAATCTACGTCTGCATGTTGTGCATCACTATCTGCAGGCTAACAAAAATAACCATGTAATATTGCCCTTATTTCTGTAGTTTCAGCCATTCTTAGAGTACACTATGAAAGACAAACAAAAGAGTACATACCGGATAAATATTTCCTTTAACCATATAGCACTTTTCTGGTTTTAACACCAAATAATCTCCACGGAAGGGTACAATTCGTGGTTCAGGGCTGCAGCCACTGATCTCAGACAGGCGGTCTGAGTAAAGTCCCGCACAGGTCACAATGTGCTGACAGTAGATTTCTTCACCCTGTAGAAGAAAAATCAAACCAAAATGACACAAAAAGTCAACAGATCTACTGAAAAACCACCCATCACCTATAAGCCTTGGGGGAAAAAAAAAAAAAAAAAAGAGTCAATACCAGAAAGCCACATTTTCAAAAGGAGGCAGAAACATTTAATTGTTTCATTAATTCTTTAGACTATTCTCCTTTGTTCCCTGGAGGAGAACTGTCCTAAAATGGCAATTCATTGGGCAGGTGTGAGTGGAAGAATCTTTGTAGAAAAGGGAGAGGGGAGGGGAAGAAAAAAAATAGAATTAAACCCCCCCCATGTTATCGATTCTCAGATTACCTTTAAGCTTATTGTCCAGGTCAGAGACTCAACGCATCAGCATCAAAGACTCTGCCCCTCCAAGGAAACCCAGCGTCTCCCTGGCCAGGGCTGTGGTAGGTGTGTGCTCCGTGGGGGGGCAACAGCACTGCAACACGTTCCCTTAAATAAAGCTGTTCAGAGATTTCGCCCCACGCACTGGCAGCGGCCATCCTACTGAATGGTAGTTTATCCTGAACACTACCCAAGTTCGTAGCACGCGGTTACAGAGAGCTTGTTAAATACCTTACCATCTAAAAAAAACCACCTAACCATCTAAATAAATAAACCTTACCATCTAAATAAATAAACCTTACCGTCTAAGTAAAAAAATCTCTACCATCTAAATAAATAAATACAATCACAAACTATTATCTAGCGAACTATATAGCTCACAGTATTTTTTTTTTTCAAATACTATGGGGTTTTTCTTCAACTAAAAGTGTTTCCGTAAAAATAATTAAAAAAAAAAAAATTCAGTATTTGGTGAGAGAATCTAACAGATTTTGGAAGCTATTTTTTAATGAAAGAACAGAAACAGAACAAGAAAGCAGCAGCACTAATTTTAAAAACTATTGGAGGGGAGTGAGGTTGGGTTTTTTTGTCTTTTTTTCCCCCTCCCAAAGACAAGTCCAGATAGTGTCTCCTGAAGGTGAAAAGGTTACAACTACAGGGCCTGTCCAGCATTAACTGACTTGCAGGAACACCCCCAGTATATGAACCCATTTTCCTAAATTATCTTGTGGCTTTCTGATGACAAAATGATTTTAAATGCCTCCTTATCATTTTTCTAGATGCCAGAGACCAAAAGCAAACATGAAAATAGGTGTTTCTCACCAAATGAGTAAGTCATTAAAGGTGTCCTTGGGACCAACAAGCATAAGAATGTGCAAATAAAGAAGATAAGGGACATACACAGTTAAACCTAAGTTAGGCGGCAGAAAGAGAAAGTTATCCTTTCATTATTACTCCCAGTTCACAGTAAAATCTGAACATGCTCACTGTTAAAATTGATTGCAGTTGTTTTATAAAAGCAGTCCTAGATGACAGTGACCATGTTACTAAACAGCAGCTTTTAAACTTTTTTTAGAGAGCTTATTAATCGACCAGACCTTCACAAAAATTCTTAACAAAAGGAGGAACAGCTTCCTATTCAGCAATTAAATCTTCAGCTTAGTTCTTACCTTTGAGTTCCTAACAATGACCGGGTACTTTAGTCCTGTGATAGAATTAGACAAGAGCAGGAATTAATAGAACACGCAACAGAAAACTGACAGAACAAGCAGCTGGTCATGATGAAGGATTTTTCCACATGAATATCTTCAAGCTGTGGAGGAACTACTGTTGGACAGAACTGATGTTGCCAGACATAACTGTATTTATGAATTAACAAGGGGGTTTTATTCTTCCATTTATGTACCAGCACAGATCCAACCTGCCCTCCAGAATAAAGAACAAGCAATAGCACATGAATACACATACAATATTCAGCTAAATCTGATTTTAACAGGAGATAACAACCGTCTTCCTCAATTTTACTATCACTTTCTTCCATCAGCTTTAAATGTTGCAGCTGAAGGGTGACCTTCCTGGGAAAAAAAAAAAAAAAACTCCCTAACATAATTTTGTGTTTTTTCTCATCCCTCTGAGACAGAAAGGTTCAGAAATGTCATTTCAGTTAAAGCGAATGTGTTTTGAACAAAATCTTTGGCAGGAATGGAGTAAATGGAGGGTAAAACAACTGCCTTACCATCTTCACTTTCTGAAGAACTTTCTTTAGCCATCTCCATGTTTGTCACTTCAAAATCAGTGAAGATGGTCCCCCCTGCTTCCTGGAAGTCTTCAGCGTAGGACTGGGCCACTTGTTTATAATTCACAATGCCGGTATGTGGAGAATCAAGGGCCATCAGACCCTGTATTAAGATACAGGAGAACAGTGAAGGCTGTCTGTGGACTCTGCTCTTCAGTACAGAGAATATTCCATCTGGAATTACGTGCCTTGCTGTTGAGAAGGGAGTAGTGCTATCTCCCCATCCCTGGCTGCTTGCTCCTCGCCTCTCCACGTGCCAGCTCCAGCTTTCACATTTGCTGACGACTAATATGGCAAAAACTACTTATGATGGATTAAGTAATCGTGTAACTACACCATAAATGAGTCTTCCTGACTGAGTGCTTAACGATAGAAGAGGTTACCTAACCTTGGCTGTAGCTAAGTTGTCCTTATTTTTCACTCTACAATTCCACCTGCCAGTGGTCACTATCACACTTTCAGCTGCTGCCAACACCCCCTGCGAGGCCGAAAGGCACCGTCTCAACACCTACTGCACGGCCCGGCAGAGAGAAAAGTCTCTTCTGAATTAGACAACAGCCTATACTTGTCCTAGCAGAAAGCGAAGTTCAAGTCCAGTGCATAGCTAGAAATTTTAATCTTTCTCAGAGACGTTTTTACTATCTTTATATCAAAAAGTCTCAGTTTCTCACATAATTTTTATCATGCTAGATGGCATCACATTTTCCTAGTTGTGGTTATAAAATAAGGATAGTAGGACTGCTTTATCTCAGAGAGATGCTGCAAGTGTAACTACACTAAAAAAGTGTCAGCCACTCAGATACCACAACAGCAGGGACCACTGACACGCCCAGGACAGCCAGAACAGTTGGTAAAACTGGTTTTTTTACACAAACCCTTTCTCTCCCCCTGATAAACAGTGCAATGTTGGTAACACCATTCAAGTTCCCTGTGCTTACGAGGAGAGGACTCAGTTCAGGAAGCCAAAGCAAATGAAGTAAGACCCATCTGAACCTACTCATTTGCAGAAGTAAATGCTCAGCTGGATCTTGAACAGGCAAAAAATGTTTGAAGGAGTGGATACAAAATGTTTATGAGGAAAAAAAGATCAGATTCCTCTCCAGAAAATTTTTGTCTGTACCTACAACTCATAAGCAATGAGTCACATAGCACAGCAATAGCAAGCTGCCAGATGAAACCGTTTGGGAAATTTATACCCAGTTTTTCCTTTCAACCCAAGATACACTAAACAACAATAAATCTGTACTCCATAAACTACTCACATTTCTCCTGCTGTGAAAATAAACAAGCTGAGAAGTGCTACATAACAATCACATGTGTAGGAAGCAAGCAGATTAAAATTGGCTTGATCTAAATCCACACTTACAGATGGGAAGGAATGTTCATTGCTGCACTATCAAGCTTTACTGTAAGTTAAATAATTTTAGTGGCCAGGAGCAGAATTATCTCAGCATAAACTCAGATATAGCAGGCCCTAACCTGGGCAAAGGAAAATCTGCCCATCAACCACAAAAACATACAAACAAGCACCTGCAAGGAGAAGGGGAAATAATTAAAGATTAAAAAAAAACATCACTCATTGTCATTGGTGAGAGGACTGGAGGTTTTTTTGTTTCTGACCATCAGGGAGGACAGGGCTGTGTAAAGCTGGGAAAAGGCTGAAGTTTGGACAATTTGCCTATAAATTCAGTCCTGCACAGGGACTAAGGGACTATAAAGTCTCCTACATCAGCTCAAATAACCGATCCCTTCTGTAGGCTGCAAGTGAAATGGATTAGCTGCTCTCTAATTAGCGAATGCTGGCCCCTACGAACAGCCAGCATCGCACGTGCAATTAGTGCAGCAGCAGCTCTTCACAGCTTCAGCACACGGGGAATGGATGAACGATGAACTGAGGAGCAAGAGGAGGAGAACGGGGCAGCGGGAGAAACCCAGGGTGAAGTTAATGTCACCAGGAAAGATTCTGCAGGATCACCTTGTGTTGTGTTGTGTTACACCTGGTCCGAGCTGTATGTAATGGCAAATGCATATGAAGGATTGGGCTGAGCTAAGAAGTTCCAGAAATAAATGGCTACATTTATTTTTGTTGACAATTATACTTCTGGGTTTTCAGGCTCTTTTGAACTTGTGAAGGATCAGGCTGAGTTAAAAAGTTCCAGACATAAATGGACACATTTATTTTTGTTGACAATTATACTTCTGGTTTTTCAGGCTCTTTTGAACTTGTCACCCACGCAAATTACCTCAAAGCCAGAAACTTATCTATGTTAAATGAAAAAAATAATGTCACCTGAGACCTTATACACCAAATAAAAATAAGCAAATCCCTTACCCTGCAGAAGGGTTCTTTCGCTTTTATTTCTTTTGCTCCAATCAGTTTCAGATCTCGAACGTTGTTCTGCAGACCCCTTTCGTACAGAGCTTTGAGTCTTGGAATTTCATCTTGTTCAACTGCTACAATTAGCTTCAGAAAATATAACAAGGCAGACCAGTGAGCAAAGCAGACAAAGCCAGTTCAGGTTTGGCATCAGGCCCAAGTTAACAAGCAAGCAATAGTGAATGAGTGAACAGCGAATTATAATTCAAGGGGTTTGTGCCATTAGTTGCACAAGGTTCCACAAATACCTGTTATGACTGAGAAAGCACTAATATACTAAGGAGAGAAAAAACCAAATGTTATACCGTAGTGTAATTTACTATCAATGGATAAAATTTGCTGAAAGTACCATGAGACTACAAATCTGAATGTAAAAAAAAAAGAGAATATGATTTTAAAGAGCCTCTGGGATGCTTCCAAAAATAAAACTGAACCCAAGATGTACAAATCTCAAACGTCTCAGTAAGTTCTGACGTGGTATCTAAACCAAATTGCGCCAGCTTCGCTTCACTTGACCATGTAGTCAGCTCACAACTATCACAAGAGATTTATCCAGGCTATGAATTACCTGTGCCGGGTTGGCACAGACCATGCTACTTCCAGGCCTAGCTCAGGTCTGGCAACACAGAAGACACTGAGTTCTCCAAGCCCAGGGTTGCTTTACGTAAAACGAGCTGTAAAGCCTCATCATCATCTTCCCTTGGAGTAAACACTGCTGGGGAAGGTGATGTAGAAGTAGCCAAATTCAGTGTCAGCAAAGAACCAGCGATGCTGCTGCGTCAAGCTCAAAACCGACCCCTACAGAGCTGTCTCGGTGTTTTTTGCCAAGAGGAGGCTCGTCACCGCAGGTGTACTGCTGCACAAATCCACAGTGCCATCTTGTGACCAGCGCTGCAGCGGAGGGAGCCCAGCAGGGCCAGGACAAGCAGCACCCACCTTGGGGCAGCACCCACCAACGCTGCCCCAGCCAGGGATCTCCGCTCTGCACCCCGAGGTGGTGCAGACCCGCACCCAGCTGCCAGCGGGCCTGGAAGTGGCGCTTCTCATATCAGAACGGGTCAACTTTTAAGAGAAAGGGTTGTGCTGTCCAAGGTGTTTCTCACTGGGGTGGTGAGAAAGGCGGGTGATGGTTTGAAGTGACCCATAGTGGTTCAGACAGGAGCTGAGCGTAAAGAACTGCAGAGGGACTTTTGGGTTAATGAGCAGCTACAAAATGTCAGGTGAAAATCAGTGCAGATGAATGTGAAATGATGATCACAGACAAAATGATGGAATCCAAGTCTAAATTTATCACTCAGGACCAAGATCTTGGGGTTAGGATAGATGATCCTATGGAAACATCGGCTCAATGCCTAGTGACAGCTGAAAAGCTCTAAATTGCATGTTAGGAACAACTCGGAAAAGGATGCGGGATAACAAAGGGAACTCTACTCTTTCACTGCAGAAATCCAGGGTCTGACCACACCTTGAATGCTGGGTGAAGTCGTGGTCCTTGTATCAAAGATGCATGAAACTAGAAACAGTGCAGAGAAAGAAGTCAGGGTGGAGAGAGTCATGAAAAAGCTTCTCAAAGAGAAATGACTGAGCAGAATTTAAGACTCACCAGCTGGATGGAGTGACTTTGGGGGAGGAGGGGATAGAATACAATTACATGCAACTTGGAGAGCGTGAGCACAGATCAGCTGTCACCACTTCTTCCAAGACAGGGGCTAGGGGCCACTGGATGAAGCTTGTAGGAGCCAGTTTCAAAATGATGTAACTTCATGCAGTGGGTTGTTGATCTCTGGAATTGCTCATCAGAGTACACTCTGATGGAAAAGCTTTTAATTGAAAAACGCTTGGAAGCAAAATCCACTGAGAGTCACCACAGACAAAACAGATCAGGCTCAGAAAACAACCTGATCTGAAAATAGTTGGAAGCTGGAATAATTAATCATTGGCTTATCCTGTTCTCATTCCTTCCTGGGTCTCTGTTTAAAGACACTTCCAGAAACAGGACACAGGGTTGGGCAGACCCCAGGCTGAATCAGTACAGCCAATCTCCCCATCCTCAGCGTTTCAGGTTCTGTTAGGTGGATGTAACAGTGCATAAATCCACGTAACCAGGTCACATCTGGAGCTGCTTTCAAGTTACTGTGTCTCTTCAGAGCCCACTCTGCCAAGAAGTATGGTGTGCACGTACTGAGAGTGTTCCCTGGAGCTACACAGGTGCCCCTCCCCTGGCCTGGCTCCCACCACTACCTGGGATATTTCAGCTCAGCTCACAGCTAAGGAGGATTATTATTTAGGCCCAGAAAAGAAACTGATTTGAGTTGCCGGAAAGATAAAGACAAAAAGGCATGTTCATCCTGAAGGCAATGTTGCAGAAACTCATCTCTGGGGATGAGGCGATTACAGCAGGGACAGGGAAGGGATCTTACCCCTGGACTCGGCACTGGTGAGGCCGCCCCTCGATTCCTGGGTTCAGTTTTGGGCCCCTCACCCCAAAAAGGCCATTGAATGACTTGAGCGTGGCCAGAGAAGGGCAACGGAGCTGGGGCAGGGTCTGGAGCACAGGTCTGCTGGGGAGCGGCTGGGGGAACTGGGGGGGTTCATTCTGGAGAAGAGGAGGCTGAGGGGAGACCTCCTGGCCCTCTGCAACTCCCTGCCAGGAGGGGGCAGAGGGGGGGGATGAGTCTCTGGAGCCAAGGCCCCAGCGCCAGGCCCCGAGGGAATGGCCTCAAGCTGCCCAGGGCAGGGTCAGGCTGGCTCTGAGGAAGGATTTCTGTGCAGAAGGGGCTGTTGGGCGTTGGAATGGGCTGCCCAGGGCAGGGGGGGAGTCCCCGGGATCCCTGGAGGGGCTGGAGTCGGGCTGAGCCAGCGCTGAGGGATCTGGGGGAGTTGGGAACCGTCAGGGTGAGGTTCATGGTTGGGCTGGGGGAGCATCAAGGGCTTTTCCAACCTTGGTGATTCTGTGATTCTGGGAGAAATACCACAACCAGACCTATGCTATACATTATAACATACATTATACAGTCTGTTTCCAAAGGCAAAGTAAGACCAGAGAGGAGTTCCTCTACCTTCCCACACCGTTTATACGGTATTCCCTTCTGGTCACAGTACTCGTAGCAAAGGGCTGCACCCTGCACACACAGCTTAGCTTTCAGAGAACCGGGTTTGTAGTAAATTCCGCTGTGAATCACACCACTGTTATGTCCACTCTGGTGATGAGCTAAATAGAAAGAAAAATACGGTATTAAATACACATTCCCATGATTGGTTCATACCTTCATTACTTCAGCTGTCAGAAGAGCAATTTGAGGTCCTGCCCTAAAGCAGCATTACAAGAGATGCTCAAATAAGATAAGTGCACAGCAAACATGATTCCTCCCTTGGTCTCAAAAGGGCAGAAAAATACTGACACAGCAAGCCCTAGTTAATAATAAACCATCACAGCTTGCACTGTGCTCAATCAACACAATAAAAAAAAAAAATCACAAGTTTTCCCTCCATAAGCTATAAAGGCAGGCCAATCAATTCAAATTTTCTACATGTCAAAACTAATTTTAAGAAATTCAGTTTTTAAAATTAAATGCATCCTTAAAGGCCTCATCTAACACAATGTCTGTGCAATCTTCAGTTTCTTTGGGTGTGCTGGCAGGCCTGGTAGGCTTTTCAGGTATTTGTGAACTGGATTAGGTGGCTATTTCCTCTGTGTAACTAAGTAAAATACAGGTGAAAAACATTACAAACATTTTTACTGAATCAGTTTAGGCTGGTTCTCTCTCTTAAGGTATTGACTGCCAAAGGTCATTCCTGCTCCGCACTCACGTAACTGTTAAGGACTTCATGATGTCCCATCTTGGGGATAAAAAGCCATTTTGTATCATACATGTAACACCTCAAGAGCAATGTATAGCCTGGCAGATGGAGTGATTTAAGGAGCTTGGACTCACAGGTCTCATTCTGAGTTAGCCACTGACCTGATCCCTCGGGGTTGCTCCCACCTACCCTGAGTGACTGTATCTGCATTAAGCGCTTGATGTGAAAAGACTGCTCACGACGAACTCGTACCCGAGTGAGCCAGAAAAACTTTCAGTGAAGCAATAGGGCTCACACTTTCTTATTTCAAAGCCAGGACAGATGCCCAGGTGCAGCGTGCCTCCAGATCTGCTGTGTAAGCAGGCCACGCTGGGAGCTGTGCCATTTCTCTCCAGCTAATGCTGGGTCAGGAACCAGTGACACCTTCCCCGTTAGACCTGTGGCAGCTCTTTGCTTTCGACCACCTTGCACAGCACGTACAGGGATACCCCCAAACACGGGGCAAATGACTGTTGGTTTACAGTTCTGGCAGCTAGCAGGCAGGCAGGTGTAGACTTTGCCCAAACCAGCAGCACCCAGACATTTTTAAGCAACTCTACCTCCTGACCTTCTCTCTCTCCCCACCAGCCCTCACTGATTTTCACTCTTCTCCTCGTGCCCCACCAAAACGCCGTCCTGGTGCCATTCCTCTGCTCACCCTCTCTGCCTCCCGCTCATGCGGCACCGAAGAGGACCTGCCCTTTGCCCCTCTGCAACCCGCACTGCTCCTCCCTGGAGTCGTGCACCCTCCTTGTCCCGTTCCCCAAAATCCCTGCTGCTGCTGGAGCCCCGGGTCGGTGGGATCTGCTGCTTTCAAAGGATGAAGCGGAAACGTTCAGTCTTTCTCTGCTTAAAGTCCTGACCTGAGGTGCCAGCAGAGAAGCACAGACTGATGCCAGCTCTGCTCCTCCACTGAAGGATGTTTTCTTGAGCGAAAGGAGGAAAAAATTCCCTTCAGGGCTAAGTGAGCAGTGCCTGGAAATGAAGATGCTCTCCCCGGGGTGGAATCCATCACCCACTTCAGCGACAAGGGCAGATTCTCGCTGCTCGCCCACTCAAAAGCAGAGCTTCCCTCCACGTGTATGTGTGTGTGTGTTCATGAAATACCGAAGTTTTGGCGAATGTGTGCTTGAGGAAAGCTTTCTGCCAGACTGACACCGCTTAACCGCAGACACACGGGGGAGGAAGCCACCCCAGCACCATACCTAGCTCCTTCTCCTTCTCCAGCACGGCGAAGGCGAGCGAGGGGTGGCGGCGGACGAGCTCCCGGG